TTCCTGCCTGCGGGGTCTTGAAAATCACGCGCGCTGCCTGTGTGTGTGTGTGTGTGTGTGTGTGTGTGTGTGTGCCCACAAACTCCTAGGAGAATAAAGTAGAAGGGACTACGGCATGGTCACCCCTCAGGGGGGTAGGGGAGTTGATTTCTCACTTTCCCTCTCACTGTCTCTGTCTCTGTCCAGCGAGCACACACATCCTATGGCAAAAAAAAAAAAGAAGAAAAAGTATGTATCAAAGGTGCTACGGAACAAGCTCTCTGGTGTAGCAATAACGAGCTTCTCAAGAGAAGCCAGATTCCATGTGACAACCACAGTTCAAATCCCTGACCTACTCAGCTGAAAACATGCCAAGTGCGCCCGGACATCGTGGAGGGCACTCATCACTCACACATGCGTTGTGCACTCGCTCGCTCGCTCTCTTTTACACACACACACAAAATCTATCATGAAGAAAGAAAAAAAATTGGGGACCAGCAGTTAGCTTAATGGCTATGTCACTGGACTTCCATGTAGTCCATTGCGGTGAGTCCCAGATCCAGTGGCTTAAACTCATGCTGGGCATGTGTGCATGTGTGCCCAAGATCCCGAGAGGAAAATGGAGGAGAAGGGATTGCGGCGTGGCCATCCCTCTGGGAGGTGTGTGTGTGTGATTTCTTGCTTTCTGTCTTTCTGGCGAGTGCACATGCCCTAGAGCAAAAACCTCTCAAAAATAATTAATTAATTAATTAATTAAAAATAAAAATTTTAACAAGTACTGCTGGTGGTGGGTTGGCAGGTGGTGTCATGGGTAAGGCACTGGACTCCCACGTGGTTGACCGCAGTTCGAGTCCCAGACCTGGTGGCTTGAGACTCACGCTGGGCACATGTGCATGTGTGCCCAAAGTCCTGAGAAGAGAATGGAGGAGAAGGGACTGCAGCATGGCCACCCCCAGGGGAGTAGATTCTCTGCTTTCTCTCTGGCAAACACAGGCACCCTATAGCAGAAATCTCTCAAAAAAAAAAAAAAAAAGGTGCTGCTGGTGAGGGCTCAGAGGGATGTTAGGAACGTGTTATTGGAAACTGGAGAAAAGTGGATCCTTTCCACTTTGGGAGAAAGATTGGCTAAACAGCAAGGAGAAAAACAACTCATAATCAACGAAACTGGACAGCTGGTAAGAACATTTCCAAACCCAGTGTTGAAAGTGCATCCTAATTTCTTGCTATTGCTTCCTCCCTTAGAGATGGACACAGGAGATAGTGCTAACCATTTCTTTTTCCTTTTGACATTTCTCCTTTGTTCATCAGAATTAGATATGTCTATTCTCTTGTTGATAATCACCCATATATGAATTTTTTTGAGAGAGGGGTTTCTGCTATAGGGCGCTGTGTGCTCACTAGAAAGGCAGAGAGAGACAGAGAGACAGAAAGTGAGAAATCACCCCCTGGAGGAGTGGCCACAATGCAGTCCCTTCTCCATTCTCCTCTTGGGTTTGGGCAACCATGCATACGCACCCAGCATGAGTTGTAAGCCACTGGATCTAGGACTCAAACTGCGGTTGACTATGTGGGAGTCCAGCAACATAACCATTATGCCATCTGCTCGTCCCACAAAAATGAATTTTTTGCAGATAAAAAAATTCAGAACCCAGGGCTGGCAGGTAGCATGGAGGTTAAGGGTGCTGGACTCCCACATGACTGAGTCCTGGACCTGGCAGCTTGTTTTCTCACTTTCCCTCTCTTTCTCTCTTTCTCTGTCCCTCTCTGATCAGATTAAAATAAGTAAATAAATAAATACAGTTAAATAAAATAATTCTTAAAAAAAAAATTCAGAACCCACCCACTTAAGCCCAGACAAAATGCCAAGTCACGAGTCTTTATCCCCCTCACCAATGGGTAAGAAGGTGGTCCCAGTGCCACAAATCCAAACGAAATGCCACAGACCCAATTAGGGAGAGGTCAAGAGAACCCAAGTTCCTGGAAGAGGGCAGAAGGCCAGGAGGGGAAAAGTCAGGTCCACCCCTCCCTCTCAGCCCTGTC